CTATATTTGGATTTCCTCCTCTGACATTTTGTTGGTCTCTGAATCAAAATTTTTAAATAAAATCCTGCCAAACAGACTACAGCAATTTATCTAAGAAATCTTTCATTATGAACAAGTTCAAGCTATACCAGGGATTCAACATCAGGAAAACAATTGCGTAATTAATCACATTAAAAATAAAAATGTACCAAACATTATTATCAACAGATACAGGAAAAGTCTTTAACAAAATGTAATACTTATGCATGCTAAAAGTCTTACAAAGTAATGGCACAGAGGGACTTTTAAATATCATTAAAATATGTATTTAAATCTAAAAGCAAGCATCATATACATGGGGATACCCTAGAACCTTTCACAATAAATACAGAAAATCAAGGAAGACCACTTTCTACACTATTATTTGATATAGTTCTAGAAATGTTAGCAATAAGAAAGGAGAAATAAATTAAAGGTTTAAAGAAAGGCAATTTGTGACAAGACAAAAAAATTGTTGACCATACAATGCTCTACTTAGATATCCTTAGGAAATCAGCAAAGAAACTAATTGGGACAATCAATAGCTCCAGCAAAGTTATAGGCTTAGATAAGAAACACACAAAAGTGAAAAGCATTTCTATAGAATAGTAACAAAAATCCAAGAGTCAATAATATAAAGGTAAATCCAATTCCAACAACTACAAAATGCGTGAAATATTTGGGGAGAGAAGCAATCTACTAAAGCAGATTAATACTAGATTAGAGTCAATTACAATATTCTCCTAAATTTTTAAAAACAATTTTAATAGTTGGAAAAATACTCAGTACTTACAGATGGGCCAGGCCAATATAACCAAGATGGAAATACTACCAAAGTTGATTTTCAGTTTTAATGTGATACCAATCAAACTAGTAAAGGGATATTTTATAGGACTTGAAAAAATAATAATAAAATTCATTTGGAGAAACAAAAGATCTAGAATATATGGGAAATAATGAAGAAAGGTAGGGATTAAGAGGGAATAGCACTCAAACTTTTATAAAGCAGTAGTCATCAAAATCAGTAGGTATTGATTAAAAACTAGAAAAGCAGAAACAAGAAAACTCAGAAAAATTATACAAGAGAACTCAATAATTCTATATTTGATAAATCTGAGGACATAAATTACTTAGGAAAGAATTCCTTATTTAACAGGTATTACTAGGAAAACTAAAAAGTTATTTGGAAAATATTAGGCCTACTAAAGTCTTATGTCATATGTCTCAAATTCAAAATAGATACATGACTTCGATTACTAAAGATGATGACGTAAAAAATTAGAAGAGAAATCATCTTCCTTTCATATTTGTGAACACAATAATAATTTTTAGCCAAACAGGGGACAGAATCAAAAGATAAAAGAGGTATAATTTGTTACAACTGAAAAGCAATTGCACAAATAAAAAAAATGCATCTAGCATAAGAAGGGAAAAAGTTGAAAGGGGAAAAAAAATCTTCATATTCAATTTCTCAGGTAAGGGTTAAGTAGCTAAGGTATATAGACTACTTACAGAAATATATAAGACCAAAAGCCATTCCTTAATAGATAAATAATCAAAGCATATAAACAAAGTTCTCAAAAGAGGAATTGTAAATCATAAACAATCATATGAAAGAATGCTTTAAATCACTAATAATGATGGAAATGAAAATCAAAACAATCTTGAGGCTTAACTTCACACAGAAAAATCTGGCAAATATGAGAAAAGTTAATATGACTAGTTAATATGGGAGGGACTGTAAGAAGACAGGCATATTGATTGACGCGTTGTTGGCAGAGCTGTGTATAATCATTCTGTAAAGCAATTTGGATTTATGCAGATAAAACAGCTAATATGTTCATAACCTTTGACTCAGAAATTGCACAATTAGACATATACCCCAACGAGGTCACAGACAAAAACAAAGGCTCTATATACACCAAAACAGGCAGCTAGTTGGTGTAGTCCTAGACCTGGAATCAGGAAGGCCCGAGTTCAAATGCAGCCTCTACTACTTACTAGTTGTACAATCCTGGGAAAGTTACTTGACCTCTCTGAGTCTCACTGTCCTCATCTGTAAAATGGGGATAATAATAGCACTAACTCTACGGCTGTTGTGAAGATAAAACGAGAAAATGTATGTCAAGCACTTTGCAAACCTTAAAGCACTATATAAATGCTAGTTATTATTTGTAATAATAATAATAAACATTTAGAGTAGTAGCATATTTTGTAGCAAAATATTTTTAGAAATAAAATAGATGCCAAGTGAATCAGGAATGTCTAAACAAACTATGGCGCATGTATGCAATGTAATATTACCGTGCTTCATAAGATAATGAATATATGAATACTGAGAACCATGAAAATATTTGCATGAACTTATGCAGCACAAATTAATCAGAACTAGTAAAAAATGCACAGTTACTATAACATTGAAAATGGAAAAAACTACAAAATAATTTTTTTAAAAAGAATGTTGCAAAATTACAAAGAACAAGTTTGGCCCCAAAGAAGAGATAGGAGAAGATACTTCCTCCAATTCCTTTGCAAAGTTGGGAGGAGGATGTTTCCATAGGTGTGGAACACACATACACACAGACACACATACACACACACACACAATCAGACTTTTCTGATGTATTAATTGGTTTTGCTGAATTTTTCTATTCTTCCCTTTTTCTTCATTAAAAAATTATTTGCTATAAACGATGGCCCTCTGAGGGAGGGAAAAGGAGAAATACAAGGAAAAATTTAGGTGATATAAAAAAGTATTAATAAAAATATCAGGAAATTTTTATTTTTAAAAAGCAAAAATATAAATAATTGGGATGCAAAAAAGAAAGAGAACTGGTTCTGGAGTCGGAGGAACTGCATTCAAGAATCTCTTATTCTTACAATCTGTATTGTGTTAACTTGGACAAGTCAGTAAACCACTCTGAGCCTCAGTTTCTTCATGTGTAAAATGTTGAAATTGTTCTAGGTGGCCTCTGTGGTCTTTCTAGCTCTGGAGTGTAGATGAGTAATCCCTATGATCCCAATGATGCAATAATCCTAAACTCTTTGCATAACGACATAGTCATTGGGGGGATAATCATAGCTTATTGTCTCTGGATAAAATTTCATATTCTCCTTATGTTGGAAGATAGTGCAAGTGTATGCTTACCTAAGATAAGCGCAAGGTAAATTGCATCGAGTTTAGGAGGTGGGAAAAGAAAACACACACCCTCCTCTCTTCAGGGTGAATCATTAAGCCACTGGTTGATATCCGGAACCCAGACAAAAAAATCCTATGACCAAGAAGGGCTTTCCTCCCTGCCCCCTTCATTCTAATGAAACAGGTAGATTATCATATTTTGGAAACTCCAAAACAAGACTTAGTCTATTTTGAAAGGTTTAATGTTTAGTGCTTATTCGTTCTTTTACAGAGGAAAGCTACTGCTGCTGGATTTTTTGTTTTGCCATCTCAATCAAATAAATGACAGGAAGCATGTCTGATTATTTTTAAACAAAATGCAGTTTTACCCGGGTTAAAGAATTCAGATTCTGTCCAAGTGACAAATTGAAAAAAAAAAAAGCCTGCAGTTTTTGCTTTATCTTCAAAGTGTCAGAAACTGACAAAATCATACCTCAGATGTGAGTACTGGTTAAGAGAGAAAGACTGTTTCTGAAAAGGAGAGGCACAGTAAGCAGGGTTTTTTTTTCTTTCCCACCTCCCACTTCAGTGAAGTCAAGGATGCATGTGGTGCAGCTTTTCTGCTTGGCCTGGCTCTATTTTAAATTTTCTTTTATTCTATCTTCTAGGATAATAGACATGTGGAGTACTCCAGATTGGACAAGAGAATAGGAGATTGGGGAATCACAGAACTGAGAGGGGGCTGTTTTAAGTAATTTTGATTGTAACATATCTCTGTCATTCATGTTATAACATATCACTCTATGCTAGGTCATTCTTCTGAATAATACCAGCCTAAACCTTTCCTCTCTTTTTTTTCCATATTAAATATATAATGTATGTCATACAAACTGAATTCTCTCATTCTGTCTGTCTCTTAGTCTCTCTGTTTCTATCTCTGTCTCTCACATGCACAAGCACATGCATGCACATGCACACGCATCCACATGTACATACACACACACCAATAACAACACAAAAAAAATGGTCATACACAAATCCCCCAACAGTTTATGTATAATTAAGGAGCTAACTGATGTCTAATTTCTTAATATGGGCATTAATAATCACTTGAAAACCAAATTTAAAAATTTTACTATTTTTATGTAAATGAGGAATTTTAAACTCAGCATCGTATCTGATGAGTTGATGTCTGTTTATAAAATGAAAGGGAAACAATGAAGCAAAGGGAACGAAATAGTCTTTTTGACCGAATTTTAGACCGCTACATTCTCAAATGACAGTCATGGGGGAAAAGAACTGAGATATGTTTTTTGGGAGAAGGAAGAAGTACCTTCCTCAGGAAAGTCCTACATTACGTGACCTTGCTCTCTTTAAATACTTTTACTCTGTCTAGAGTTCTCATGGATGCACAAGGCAAGGGGTGATTGGAAAATAACAATGCCGAGTAAGATCTGCTTTTCTTCATTTTGATTTAAAATTTTATTTAAATTTGATTTTCTTTTTTTTTTTCTTTCAACTGGGAGTGAGGGGTCTAAAGATGATGAGAAAACAATCTACTGGAATGTGGGGAGGGAGAAAAGGCCGTATTATGAAAGGAATAAATAAATGCAGGCTGCTTCCTCAGTATCCACACAGTACGTGCAAAAGAACATTTTTTCAGAAGTAAAACGAAATATGCAGATGATTTTACACCGGGAAACATCATCTGTGACACATTCTTGCATTCAGACCAAAAGACATTTTCTATCATTTGGGGTAATTGAACATTAGTACAGTTATGCCAATGCAGTCACATCTTTCCTCCCCAGTGGTATGCACATGCTATTTCCATAACAATCAAGAAAACATCGCGCCACTGTACCTTCCCAGCTGTTCTCGTTACACAGAGTGGTCAAGTCCAACTGAGGCATTTCGGTGACAAAGCTATCTTCTTGGACATCCGTGTCTTGGTTTCTCTGGAGTTTTGTGTCGGGGAGGCTTGGATGGTCCTGAATCTTCATGGTGAAGATCTGCAATAACACCCACGCAAAATTGAAATGCACAAGAAAAACCAAAAGGATGCCTGCAACGTCTTCGCTCTAGCTCGAAAGCTTTCAGATAGTAGTTGTACGGAGTGCAAACCCCAAAATCAAAATCCTTGCTTGACGAGCTCCTAAATGCTACTTATAGTCACTCGCCCTCGCGTATCATGCACCCATATGTTTTCCCTTAAACTTTTCCTTCCTTCTAAAGCTACTACGTAAAGCTTCTAAAGGGAAAGGCAGCTCATATGGATAGATGAATGCAGCTGACCGTCATGAATATTGATTGGGGAAGGGAGGAGGGGAGGGAGTTGCTAGTTTCTTAAAGAAGGATGCCTCCCCCTAGATTGTAAACAAACAAAAAAAGAAACCGCTTTCACTGTTGCTAAGGCTGCAGTAGCAACACGGTTTCTTTTCAAAGCTGCCTCGCTCGCCCCTAAGGTAAACAGCCCTGCACTGCTAAGATCAGAGGCTGGGAACAAGAAAGCCTTCACGCAGGCCGGGCAGGCTTAGCTCAATTAGTGCCGGCGAAACTGCAGGCTGCCCATTCTCTGATTTCCTCTGCTTGTTTTCTAGCTGGGCGTGGGGGAGAACAGGACTATTTATGGAGGAGCTCTGGGTTAAAGCGATGTTGCGCAAATGTAAATGGTAGTGGGGTTTGGCGTATCAGCTGGGAGCAGTGCAGAATCTGGTCAAGAGCCAGAACTGCAGAGAGGCCGTCTTTCTGTTTTCCTTTTTTTTTTTTTTTTAACCCCTTCTAATAAAACTAAAGAGCTGTCAGGCCGGTGATGAATAATTTATATCTCGTAACATGAAATTGTCATTTGTTTCCACTGCTATTCATACCCTGAATATTCCACCTACCTTACCATTATCATAAAGAAAAATAATATTTGTACAGGAACAAAATACATTAGATTTCTTAAGGTAATTTCTTTAAATAAAAGGATCATAATCAAATCAAATCCTAAAAAAAATCTGGAAAACCTAAAAATAACTCGTGATAAATGTTCCTATATTTAAAATAAAACATGAGTTTGCTTGACAAGTTACACTTAATAAGCATCAAATCCACTTTAACAGTGCTAGCGGAATAAAGGCTCTTATTACATTTCCAGGAAGTGATTTAGGCTATCATCAATTCATATGTGTGTTTGTGTGTATGTGTGTGTGTGAGAGAGAGAGAGAGAGGAGAGAGAGAGAGAGAGATGGAGAGAGGGAGAGAGAGACAGAGAGAAAGAGAGAGAGAGAGAGAGAGAGAGAGAGAGAGAG